TATATATATATATAAAGAGAGAGAGAGAGAGAGAGAGAGCACACAGCAGGACCACCTCTGTGGCAGGGTTTTGAGCTTTGCAATGGGGTCCCTCCGCCTCACAGGATTGGATTGCATACGACCCCAGCGCCACCCCCCCCTTTCCCCACCACGCCCGTGAAGGCCCTGCTCGTGCAATTTGTCGGCGGGCTGCGCCGTGCCACAGCGGAGCGCGCTGACGAGCGCGTGCGGTTGACGGGTGAAGTAATCTCTGGGGCACTGGCGATGAAGATGCTGGGGTGAGGGGGGCGGAGCAACACCTTGGTGGGGGCGGATTCATTTGATTATGGGATATATATGGGGTTGGGATGGGCCACTGCCAACGGTGCCGCTGCACTGTCGCAGCAGAGCAGTGGATGGGGCGCCGAGGGTTGAGCTGTTCGCGCACGGGTGGGGCTGGGTCCCCGGAGCGCTCACGCCTGGCCGCCAAGAGCCAAGGCCGAGTGGATTGCCGCGTAAATGACTGCGGGGCGCGGCAGGATGTCTGCACCGCCCACGTCACCACTCAGTGCATCCTGTTCCTTGATCTGCGCCTTTCGCGCCCCGCAGGTGGGAGGACCCTTTCACTTCTGCCATCTGCGGCATCCGCAAGCAGGTGCGCACGGAAAGGGCGGCGCTCGTCTCAAATGGGGGGGGAACGGCAGCGCCCGTCTCGAATGGGAGGCGTAGCTGGGTACGTCGCCCGCAGGCCGCTTCTGCGCCCGCCCGCCTGCTCCGTGCCCCCGCAGCCAAGCAGCGCGTCCGCCTGCTCGCAACTCCCGACTTCCAACGCTGCCACCGCGGGCACGCCCCGCAGGAGGTGCGCCACTCTGGCCGCATGGCGCAGATCCGCGGGCTCAACCTTGCCCTTCAGTTCGCCATGACGCCCGTGGTGGCGTTCGTGACGTTCAGCACCTACCGCGCCCTGAACGGCAAGCTCAACGTGCCCAGCGTCTTCTATGCGCTCAGGTGGGCGGCCATGCGTGCATGCGTACCTACGCCGCATGCTGCCATGCGTACATGAGTACGTACGCTGCATGCTGCCATGCGTACATGAGTACGCACGCCGCAGGCATGCATGTGCGCATGCGTGCAAGCATGTTTGTGCATGCCTGCATGGCTGCTTCCACAGCGCATGGCGTTTGCACACGCGCCGCCGCAGCCTGCCTTTCACCAAACTCAAGAACACCTCCTCCGCCGCCCGCCCGCAGCCTCCTCAACCTGCCCAAGCTCACTATGGTGTACTTCTTCGTCTTGGGGGTGCAGTTCCTTGCCGAACTCAAGGTCAGCCTGCGCCGCATCGACGACTTCCTGTCGATGCCAGAGCCCCCTCCGCCGACACACCAACGCGGCCTGGACCAGGGTGCCGGCGCCGCGCCGGCGGCGGGCGCCGAGGCGGCGGCGGCCGGGGGTCGCCCGTCGGCCGAGAAGCGGCGGCTGTCGTTCGACGCGCTGCTCGGGCGCCGGCGGTCGGCGGCGGCGAACGGCACGGGGACCGTCTTGGACAAGGAGGGGAAGAGCTCGGGTGTCGAGGTGCCCGTCGGCGGCCTGCGGCTTGGGGGTGCGGATTACGATTGGTCGAGAAACGTCGAGCAGCTGGGTCTGGGGCCCCGCAAGCCAACGTCCAGCGGCGGCAGCAGCGGCAGCGGCGACAGCAGCAGCGCCAGCAGCGGCAGCGACGCCGGCGACGCGCCCGAGGGAGCGCCGGCCGCCGACGGCGGCGTGGAGGGCGACGCAGCGCGCAGCGGCCGCGAGGCCGCGCGCGGGGCCGAGCCCAATGGCGCCGCCTCCACGCCAGCAGAGAGCGGCGCCTCGGAGGGCCGGTCGCGCCGGGGGCGGCGGCGAACGCTCGAGGGTATCGAGCTGACCGTGTCGCCCGGGGAGCTGCTGGGTATCTGCGGGGAGGTCGGCGCCGGCAAGAGCAGCGTGCTGGCCGCGCTGCTGGGGGAGCTGCAGCCCATCAGGGAGGCGGACGGCTCGCTCAAGGGTGAGCGGCGGCGGCAGCGCGGGGCTGGCGGGGTTGGGCTGCCGCGGCGCGCAGGTTCCCAAGCATGTGCTCGCAGGGGCCCGCCACGGCCCCAACTGACCCAACCCAGCACTGGCTGCTGGGCTGCACTGCAAGGTGGCGGCACTGGTTGACCCAGCAGCGGCGTCACTCCCAGCAATTCCCGCTGGCTTGACCCAAATACATTGTTGCCCGATCCCTCACCCTAATGTAACCTCACCCTCTCTCCGATGACCGCCCCAGGCGGGCCCGAGGTGCGCGGCAGCGTGGCGTACTGCTCCCAGGTGCCGTGGATTGTGGCGGGCAGCCTGCGGGACAACATATTATTCGGCAAGCCCCTGGATGACGCCAGGTGCGAACACAACGCGACCCCAGAACCAACGCTCGTGGCGCTGGACCGTGGCCGCCGCGCCCGGCTTTCCCTCGAACACGAGGTGGATGCGGCCAGCCGGGGGACGAGCGGATGGCACCCGCTTGGACTGGGTGTGCATGTGCGTGTGCGTATGCGTATGCATGCGTGTCTGTGTGTGTGTGTGTGTGTGTGTGTGTACGTGTGCATGTGCATGTGTGTGTGTGTGTGTGTGTGTGTGTGTGTGTGTGTGTGTGTGTGTGTGTGTGTGTGTGTGTGGTGTAAACACGTGTGAGCGTACGCGCGTGCTGCCCACAGATGGCTATGGCAACATCTGTTTGCAGCTGTCCCACCCCTTCACTGACTTGACTGTGTCATCACCGCTGTCCTTGCCGCGCCGCTTCCCCCCGTATTCCCCCCAGGTACCGCGCGGTCATAGCCGCGTGCGCCCTGGAGCAGGACCTGCTGGAGCTGCCAGCTGGCGACGAGACAGAGCTCGGGGAGCGCGGCGTCAACCTCAGCGGTGCGCGGAGAGCGATTACCCCCCGGCCCGCGTGCTTGCATTCTTTTGGGGGGCGCGGGGGGCCTCCGGGCTTGATCCACGGGCGGAGGGGGCGTTCCTACCCGGCAGCCTTGTGTTGGGGGACGGGGCCACGGCTTGGGTATGGCGGCTGCTTGGCACGCCGCGTGTGTGTGTGTGTGTGTGTGTGTGTGTGTGTGTGTGTGTGTGTGTGTG